CCAAAAAACAAAAAGACTAGACTTCTTCCTAAAAATAAGAAAGTTTTTGACTTTGCAGAAGGTAATGAAAACAAAGAAAACAACAAAGAAAACAACAAGATTACTGTAAACAACAAGATTACTGTAAACAACAAGATTACTGTAAACAACAAGATTACTGTAAACAACAATGACAACATCTCTGGGCCAGAAACAAATGTTTTGCAAAGTGTAGATACCAACAAACCTATTACAAATTGGGCCAGTCAAGTAGAAAAAGAGGAAACAAACAGAAAAATGAAGAACGAAGACAAGACTCCTTATAGTCAACAAGAAACACATACTGTTCGTTAAACAAAACAAATCACATACCAGATATAAACAATAAACAAAAAGACAAACACGTGGTAATAAACAACTAATCAAGGAATACCGTTCTCTCTACTCCTGAAGAATCGACTTCACCTAACACAATAACTAAAACAAAGACAACTACAAATAACTATGACAAGCCTAAACAGTAGTCAGACCTCTTTGCCAAACTCAAAGAAAGAAAAGCTGTTTATACAAATGCTACACCTAGGCAAAGAATCTATTCTAAAAATGAAAACATATTAGTAATTAATATACAAAGCCTCAACAACATTTCAACCAATGACATTATTGCTGCCCTAGCTATTAGCCTTAAAGATAATCTTATAGTAGCTAAAACTCATATATCGAAAGGGAGACAAGTTTCTTTGAAAATAATTCTCAAAGACAAAGAAAAAGTACAGCTTTATGCAACAAAGAGTATTTCACTCTTCAAGCAAACATTCTTTGGCTATATCCCAGCTAATCTTAATCGCTCCTTTCTTACTGTAAAACTTAAAAACACTCCAATGAGAGATTCAAATCATATCAGTATGCGTATTCTAAATGCCTTCCAAGATGTAGAACAAATTACTTCTATCAAACCACTACTTTACGAAGGTACTAATGTTTGTTCAGATCAATAGTTGATCTTTTTTGAAACTATGAATGATCCTGATCTAGTATCAAGAATTTCCAGAAGCACCCATATCGGCAACCATAAAGTAATTACAGAATAGAAAGAAGCTCCAAAAATATGTTTCTACTGTGAGAAAGAGGAACATATAAAAAAGACTGTGAGGACCTCAAAGCTTCAATTAAAACTAGTTGCTTTCTCATAGAAGCCAAAGTATGAATAGATAAAGAAAAAACTCAAAAAGCTCCAGCATCAGAAGTTAGCTTCAGTCCTGACAACCTATACAATAACAATATGGTAGAAAATACTCAGAATGAAATTCAAGTTACAAAAACAACCACTTTATTAGAACAAAACTCAACTACAACTGAAAAAATACTAAATACTGTAGCATGGATCTTAATCCAACTGCTCTTAATACCATATTAAGCCCAACTACTTGTGAAACAAAAACTGAACCTTCTAAAATTATAGAAGATCCTATACAAAGTTCGTATAATACTGAAGATGCTCTTTTTACTGTGATAATATCTAAAAAACAAAAAGGGAAGTTTATGAAGAAAAAAGACCAATCATTAGCTTATCAACCATATAGAACTTCTGGAAGCTCACACCAAAATTCTCTGAGTTCTAGAACCCAACACTAAGAATAAGATTTTCTTAGTGTAGCTCCAATACCCAATATACTTCATGATTAAAATCGCTATACTGAATGTAAAGGGTTTGAACAACAGACCCAAAGCCTTAAAAACACTTACATTACTATAATCTTATAATCTAGACATAATTATGATCCAAGAAACAAATCTAAAAGAAGAAGCTACAAGAAAATTCTTAGCTTAAATTTGGGGTTTTGACTCTCTATAGTCTTCCAAAACTGCAATTCTAGCAGAAAAAAGAAATATCAAACTTACTAACAAGAAAGAAATACATAACGGAAGAGTCATGATACACAGGTCCAAGTTTTAAATTTCGGTAGCATTTCTGTAAGATATTTGTGAGATATCGGACATCAATTTATCTGATAGTTCACCGATATTTGGCACGTATCTTCACCTATTGGCAGAATATCGGCTTCTGATAGGCCTATCGGCAGAATACTGATAGGCCTATCAGAAGCTGATATTCTGCTGATAGGTGAAGATACGTGCCAAATATTAGTGAGCTATCAGATAAATTGATGTTTGATATCTCACAGATATCTCACAGAAATGCTACCGAAATTTAAAACTTGGACCTGTAATAGCCAAAACAATAATTCAACAACAAACATTTTCATTCACGAATATTTATGCTTCTCTAAAACAAGAAGTAGAGTTATCTTTCTTAAAAACTGGACTCCAGAAACCATATGTGAGAATATCTGCATAATTGCAGAGGACTTTAATGTTAATTTATATCTCGAGAAAAATAGAATAAGCCAAGCACCTATACAACATGATCGTTCTAGAGCTCTCTTAGAAAATTTAGTAAAAGACTATACTGACACAGCTCTAACCTCTAAGAAATCACCATTTCTCACTTTTTATCAACCTATATATAGCAACCAGAAAATAGCAACTCGCTTGGATTATATTTTCATAAAAGCAAGCCATAGCTACTTATACACAAACACGTATACTCACTTTGGTAACTCTGACATCTTTTAGTGAAATGTGAGCTTAATTTAAAACCTAAACATCTTTTCAAATTCATATGGAGATTTGACAAAAAATACTGGAACTTGCCAGATTTCAGAAAGAATGTTCTAGATGAATTACGAAATATACAAGACATTACAAATTGGGATCTACACAAATGCATCATTCAATCTCTAGCAAAAGCTGTCAAACCCAACCCTCCTCTGGAAAGAAATATCCAAAGGTTGTATAAAAGAATTCATAAACTAAACAACAAAATTGCAAGAAACCCTAGTCTGGAAGAGCTCAAACTAGTGGTTGAAGATCTAAATCTAAAAGTACTAGAAGAACTTATCATGTTATCAAACAATGGCGCTTAAGATCCAATGCTAAGTAGATTGAGAAGGGAGAGAAATTCACTAAATATTTCTTTGCTTTTTACAAGAAAAAACACTTAGGATCCTGCAGTTCCAAAATATAGATTCTAGACAAAAACTTAGAAGCAAATTATGGACTATATTAAGGACTCCTACCAAGAATCTATAAAGCAGAGAAAATTGATATAGAAGCAGCTTTAAAACTCACTAAGGGCCTTACACAAGTTTTCACAGAACAAAATAATTCTTTAACCAGATCTATTTCAAAAGATTAAGCCAAATTATCAACAAACTCACTAACAATAAGTCTCTAAGAGCAGATGGGCTCACATATGAATTTTACAAAGATTCTAAAGAAACTATTCTTTCTATCTTGGCTAACCTATTTAATAACATTCTTAACTCTGGTCAAATTTCTATCTAATGAAGCAAAAGTCTAATTATACTAATCCTGAAAAAAGCAGATGACTTGTCAAACTTAAACAATTGGAGACCAATTTCACTAGTGAACTCTGATACAAAAATTTTCATGAAAATTCTTGCTAACAGACTAAATCCAATTTGTGATAAAATAATAGGCCCAGCTCAACAAGCCTTTATAGTCAACAGATTAATTACAGATATAGCTCTTGATATTATAACAGTTCTAAGAAATCAATTTGATCAGTCTAAACAACACTAGTTACTTTTATTAAATCAACAAAAGGCCTTCAATAGAGTTAATCATAACTTTATTTAGTTAGTCTTGAAAGAAATGAATTTCAGCCACAAATTTATCAACATAGTCTTCACCCTGTTCTCATTTCAAGAAGCTCATATAGTAGATACTGGGTTTATTTCAGAACCCTTCAGAGTCGAAAGAGGAGTTAGACAAAAGGTCCTACTATCACCTCTTCTATAAGTTCTAGCTATTAACCTACTGATTCAAAAAATCAACTGAGATATCAGAGGAATTAATGTCAATAACTTTGCTTTCAAACTGGCAGCTTATGCGGATGACCTCTCTATAGGAATTGGCTCTCCACTAGACTAGCCAACCTCTTAGAGATCTTTATTCAAGCAAAGTCCACACTTATCCCTTTAACAGACAATGTATGAAGAATGATCAAATTGGCTTTAAGCTTTTTGAAGAGAATCAAAATACTTTCACTATTTTAGGATATACTGTTAACTTAAAGGGTCTTCCTGACAAAACTCTGTAGAGCACTATTACCAAAAAAATTAAAGACAAAATACAGGATCTTTCTCAAAGAAACCTGTCCTTTAGAGGGAAAATCCTAGCAACCAAACTTTGCTTATTTAAAAATTTGGTACCTGGTATATTTGCTTCCACCTACAAAAAAACAACTCAACGAAATTAATGCTCTAATTATAAACTGCATTAAAAGAAATTCGAGAATGCTACTACAATACTCAGTTTTCCAACTAAGTTACGAACAAGGAGGCCTTACTGCCCCTATTCTCAAAGATATGCTAGATGCTAGATTACTCTCTATTTGGCTTAAAATTCTTACCAGCAACTCATTCTGGGCTACAACTGAGAGAGCTCTTGCAACCTTAAAGCTATATAGCAAAAGAAATCTCGACTCCAGGAAAGCTTTAATACAAACCTCATATAAAACCAAAGGATAGACAGAAAGATGAAAACTTTACGTATTTGCCTGAAAATGATTTAAAGACACTATCAAAGCGAATCATAGCTGGCCTTAGTCACTTGAACAAATTAAAATAAACAACTTAGATAGCTTACATTTTACCGTAAAAGAAGCCTTAAAGGGTCTACACAAACTGACCAACTTACAACTCGAAGCGGAAAACAACCAAAATCAGAATCTCTCACGATACAAATGGTTAAACACCAAATAGATACTCAATAAAAAGAAGGACACCTTCTGATACTTGTTTCACAGAGCACTTCTATTAGATTACAGACTAATTCATATTAATCAAAACAACTTAGGAGATTGTCCTAATTGCCAATATACTACCCAAACAATTAAACATTTTGTTTTTAAATGCCTCTTAAGCAAATTAATATAGAAAACAGCATATAAGTTGTTTAAAGGTTCAGAAAACGAAACTATTTCTCATACACTCGATGATATCTTTCAGACAACCAACATCAAAGAAAGAAAAAAGAAAGAAGCTGCAATCTGGCTTCATATAACTACTGTTTACGAAATTTGGTGCTAATACACTCAAGCCAGATGGGGAAACACAATAATTCTCTAGGAATCTATCGCCAATATAATTACTATTAGACTCAAATATGAGTTCAACCTTTTATATAAACTAGCTTATCAAAATATAAACACTAGGTCTAATAGAGCCAAAAATTTAATTAGATTTATTAAACCTCTTATGTAAATATATAACTATGTAATATAAATAAAGTATGCTTAAATGCAGTTTTTTAAAAAAAAAAAAAAAAACTGAGTTGGGCTTCCTCTTTCTCCTTCTATAACTAATAGTAGCTAGTCTTAAATTAGTTTACAAATAAAAAATTAAGAGGTGTTTTGCTACACTTAGGTGGTTATACAGGATATAATAGATAGTTTAAAATTAATATCATCTTGATACAAATCT